CAGCGTGTTTAATCTATACATGTATGAAAATAATAACTAAAGAAGTGGAGGTGGGTAGGTTCATAATTTGAGAGGAGGTGGGGGTATACAGGAGGAATTACAGGAGGTGAGTTCCAGGTTCAGTGAGAACTCATGCCTCAAAAAATAAGGTAGAGAGACATCAAGGAAGAAAACCTTTAACAACCTCTGGTGTCCACATATGTGCATACATATGTGCCTGGGCGCACTGCACATACATGTATACAGACACACAAAAAGCAATATATGTACCCCATGAGACCATATATATATATATAATATATGCCACATATATACACACATATATGTATATACACAGATGTATATTACATTGTATATAATGGGAAGATTTATACTGGCTTTTTCCATTTACTAAAACTTTTGAGTATGTACTTATAATTCAGATTTAAATATATTTAGGACTTGCTGGCCATCAGACATGCACTTCTGTTTATTGTCAAGCTATATTTTTGGATATTTTTTCTATTATTTGTTTTCACTGTTAAATGTGCCGTGCTAGTTGTTACTGCACTGGGCTTTGTGGCTGTAAAATTGTTTGTGGACCTAATTATAGTTCGTTATGATATATCTTTCCAGAGGAATTCTGTGTTGTTTCTTCCAGGCTGGCAATTCCTGGGGTCTCTTACAATAATGAATCACTTCAATTTCATTTTAAGAATTGAAATGATTTCTGTTTCCTTCAAGAACACAGTGTTTAGTTTCCTCCTAGGAATTCTTACGGCCTTCAGTTTTATTTTGGCACTCCTGTCCTGAGTGGGCTCATGAGGTACTGTGGAATCTCTGTCTTCTCTGATATTTCTTTTGAAATCTGCAGAGAAGCAGTATTTCGGGGTTTGCTCAATTTAACAAGCCTCTGGGTAGCTTTTCACTGCTTTGTTATATATATGCTTGAAGTACATATATGTGTGTGTATCCATACATGTATGAATATATATATATATACATATACACATACATTCATACATGAATACACATGTATATGCACACACACAGGCATATATATGTGTATACATGCACGTAGATATGCCTTCTTCATCAGCATTTGAGTCGAGTTACCATTGATTTACCATTACTGCAGCCTGGTGTCTTCATCAGAGATTTGAGCGGGCATTCATGCTTAGACTTAAAGCTTCATTGCAACGTTCTTGTTTCTGAGTGGGCTTTCAAGGAATGTCAACTGCTTGAGGAATAGGGCAAAGAGTTACAGTAGATATTTTTCTTGGTGGTGATAGAGTCAGAATTTCACAGATAGCACAGCATGAGAGTCCGCTGTCCTGTGAGCTGAAACCTACACACGGCTCATGGTCCCATAGCCCCATCCAGGAGCAGGCTGTGTTGTATGAAGTAGACTGCGTGGGTAGTTATACCGCTTCTGTCCAAGTGGATGAAGAAGACATGTTTCAGCTTAGTCGATGTGGGTCTCCGTTCTATTTAGTTGTCTTCCACTCACTGCAGAATGAGCAAAGGGGAAACAGGTTTCAAGGTGCTTAGGGGAAATCTCCTTATGAGAGAAAAGAATAAAGTCATTGCTCCTACACAGTACTTGCAGCAACTTAATTTTGCTAACAAAGAAATAATCCTTCATTTTGTTAATATTTAAGATATGCAAACACACACACATTTAATACAAAGAAATAGGTGCTTTTGAAGTCTTAGATCTTTCACATACCGAACACATACATTAACAATTGGTACTTCAATCGTCTTAAAGCTTGGAGATGCTTAGAGTGCCATGCACATACAAGGGCACACACATATTCTTGGTTTTAGTGTGTGTGTGTGTGTGTGTGTGCGTGTGTGTGTAGGGGGTGTTATTTCTAAGGCTTCCAGACCTCCTGGGGAGCAGCTTCTTATAAGATACTTTCTGCTCTGCCCTCTGCCCTCTGCCCTCCTGTGGATGTGGAAGGTTCTACTGAATCTGTTTTTCCTGCCTCCATCTCACAGTCTCCATCCAGCACAGCTTGCCCTCCTTTATTGCCTAGCTTCTTGTATTTCTGCACATGAATGGTAGGTGTTACAGGTCTTTTCTAACTTAATATTATATTTCTAAAAAAAGCACATACTTTTCAGTCTGAAAAGTTGTTCTGAGGCCTGAAGTTTACTCTCTTCTTTCAAGACCTTTCCTTCAGATCTCCAATAAGCTAGCTTATTAAATTGCTACTCAGTTTCAGGGCTTTCGGTGAAGAATCAATTGCAGTGTTTATCTTCTCCAGTGGTGTGAGGAGGATTTGACCAAAATATAATCAGAGAAGAGTGACTTTGGGAATCATTTTACTCCCTCCCTGCCCTCTATCCCAACCGCACAGGACATTTCTGTGCTTCTGTTGAAATCACAGGAAACTTCAAGCTGTAATTAAGATCATTATTAGGTTAAAGCTGGTAGAGGTTTCTCTTTTCTCTGGAGAAATCATTTTGTCAAAAACAATGCATGATAGGAATAGGAAGATTTTTTTTATGTTAGCAGGCTTGGTTATGAATCATAGAAATAAAATGTTGAAAATACAAGTTTGCATTTTAAAATAAAGGATTGTGCTGCAGCAATTTAAAATGGTACCCCTGAAATCACCATGCTGTATTCAGTTCTACTATTATTCTAGGCTTGAGGGATATTTTAAAAGGCTGTCTGTGAAATGAATATGCAAAATACTAGATTTTGTTCCTTGGAGTCTAGTGAATGTCCTCTCAAGACTCTGATATTGGCAACCATCCACCATGCAACCTATCCAGGACCACTGTTAGCTACAAACCTTTTCTTCAGCTGCTGTCAGACATCACTGCTCTTTCCCGCCTTACTCTGGATAGAAGCCATCTTCCCTTCATGTTAGACTAATATCACCCCAAACCATTTAGCACTGTGTGTGTTTTTCCCTCACTTACTGGTAACTCAGCTTAGCCTAGCCTCTGAGTATCTCCCAGAATTCCCTACGTCCTGATTAACAAAAGGAGCCTCTGGCCTTGGGTTAAAGAGATATTCTCATTTATAATTATTCCTCCCAGAGGAACAACTCTGTTAAAAGTCTTTTAAATTGGGGTTACCAAGGTTTTTTTTTTTCCTCGTGTTGGCCAGTATGAATTTTCTCTGTCCAATATCTGAAACTTCTCCTTAATTTTTAATCTTAAGAGTATTTCTTTCTTTTTAGGTTGAGTCTATATGGTACCAGAATATCATGGTTGTCTGTAGTGTAACTGTTATTTGGAAAACTGTTTTTGTCAATTATGATGAAAATAGGGAAAACATCAACATCTGTGCTACCCATAAAATATGACAGGAAACATCAGTTTAATCTTTACAGTTATTTATTTAAAAGAAACTTTGTATTGGCTCCTTATGAATTTCTGCACTCCAAACCCACTCATCTTTCCTTCCCTTCATGCCTGTCCTCCACCCTTGCCCTTACCCCCAATAGAGAAAAATAAAATCTCTTTGTGGAAGCTGTAGTGTGTCTCATAATATACTCATTTGTCCATATTTCTTTGCTTGCAAAGATTTCTTGCAATGACTCCTTGGTCTGGTCCAGGCCTCTGGCTTCCGGCACTGTATCAATACTGGAACCTCACTGGGACTCCTGAATATCCTGTTGTTGATCCGTGTCATTGAGATCCTGTAGTTTTGGATCTGTAGGATGAGCCCCTTCATGAACTCCGGCAGTTCATCCACGGGGTAGATATTGGAGTGGGCCAATTCAAAGCTCTGGATCTGAGCCTAAGAGGTATCTGAGCTAGTCAGGCCACTGGCTTTCTAGCGGTCATGCCCTCGAGGCTGGCTCACCCGCAACTCTACTACGCTGCCCAAGTGAGGTGCAGGGCCTACTCTCCTGAGTGCTGCAGTAGGTGAGGGACAGCACCAGCTCTCCCTCTCTGATGACCTCAGAACCACCTCTGCTGTATGCCATAAGCAGCAATGGATGAAGGGGGAGCATCTCTCCTTCACCCATGTCACTGCATGACAGACAAGTGGTGGGACCAGCTCTCCCATGCTCACACCCTGGGTGTGGTCCAAGCCCCTGCCATAAGGGTCTGCTCTATTGTACTGCCCAGGTAAGGTGCAGGTCCTGCTCTCCCGAGTACTGCAACTGGTGAGGGGCAGGCATAGGTCTCCTACTTGCTGCAAGTATCAAAGGGCAAGGGGGAAGGAAGATATGTCTCCCCTGTTCGTGACGCGGCACAGGGCATGAGTGGCAGGGCTAGCTCTCCCACTCTCATACCCTTGTGGATGGCTCACTAGCAACTCTTGAAATGTTCAAGGCCTGTTCTCTGGATAGGGACAGGGTCAACTCTCCTGCTCTTATGCCACCAAGGCCATCTCTCCCTCCAGGCAAGGGGTGTGTCCAGTTCGCACAGAAGTCAGGCATCAACATGTCTGTAGCACAGACCAGAGTCATCCACCTGGCCTTTGGTGATAACAGACCTGTGCTGCTGAAGGGCCGTGGACCCAAACCTGGGCCCCAGTGGCAACAGAGGCCAGGACCCCACCACGGTCTTAGGTGGCAACACCAGCTACTCACATCAGGCTGTTCCTCACTATCCTCAAGTCTCCAGTTCTGCCTCTTTTCATTCCCTTCCATTTCTCCACATTTACTTGCTCCTCTTCGTGGCGCCCAGGGTCTCTGGGTGTCTGGGGTCATCTCGGGAGTGTTCTCAGAAGTGCCACACCCTGCTCGTGCATTGCATTAAGGTGTCCCCCATCTCCCCGACCAGCATGGTGTCAGACTGGTTAGCGTTTCAGCCTGGCTTCCTGTGTGCGTCCCCTGGCACCGGCCTGGTGGTACTCTCTGGCTTGCTCCTTGCACAGCCCACCAGAGTGGCCCCATGCGAGGGTTGTCTGTCTCGGGGCCACTACCACCAGGGTTCCACAAGGGGTTTTTTTAGCCTCTGGATTTTCTTTTTCCCCACCCTTGGATCTTGTATGGGCCCGTGTGTTACCGACTGGTGGTCATTTCAGGCTTGCTTTTTTTTCAGAGAGTGTTAGGCCACTAACCATTCAGGTGCTCACAGGTCAGAACACTGAGTGTAGACACGGCCTCAATCCTCTCTGTCACCTACTAGTGAACATGACGTAGCAGGGGTAACTGCCCCACCTCTACAGTCAGTTTATATCTCCTTCTTAGCACCTTAATATAAAACACCTTAATATAAAAACTATGCTCTTTTGTCCCAAAGACATATGAACATACTCAGGTCACAACTGTCTTTTGACCTCCATACTTCAGGCGAAGACCAAACTAGTGTTCTTTTGTAGTAGTTTGTAACAAAGTATGCACTCAATAGATTACACATGAGGACCAGCAGAGACAGACAAGCTTGTCCCCTAAGTGTAACATTGTAGACAAGTAAAGGTGGCACATTCTTCTTCTTTTATTTTTCTCTCGTTTTGTTACTCTCTCCAGAGTCAAATCATCCAGAGAAGAATGTGGCAGAGAGCTGTCAACAAGCCCAGAACTGCTCTTTCTACATGGCCTCTGTCCTGGATGGCTGCTTGAATGCTACAAGCGTTAAGCTAGGTGTTACATTGGCAGGCTCGATGCCCATGGGCATGGAAAACCACCGCTGACTGCTTGCTAAGTACCAAGGTGGCCCAAGAGCATTGTTCTAACTAGCAGAGGGCAGAAGTTCACATACCCTCATGCTCACTTCACATGAGCTCTGAAGTGACACTGGCTACAACTTCTGTGCCATTTCACAGTTCCAGAACACTCATTTACTTTAGGAGAGAAAACAGTGTGGAAATGGAGGCTTTAGTGCTGGACAAGATTGCTGCAGGGAGAAATGAGCTCATAAATAGCGAACACAAACCTCAGTGGGGTTTACAGCTCTTACTGTCTGAGCTGACACAGTGGTTCTTATTGAATTCCCAAAGCCTTGGATGCTTTGGCGTGGTTGCCAAGTGCCTGATTGAATTATTTAAAGTTTCTTTTAAACTATCTTAAAAAATTAATAAAAACAGGCATTTCCTAAAATAGGTTAGGTACCATTTTCTGCATGCTGGAATCCACTAAGTTTAAGCGTGTATTGTGAGGCTGTTAATTGGGAGCAAATCTAAATTAAAAAAAAAGATTTTCTCTGCTGTCAATAAATTCTGAAGATTATGGTCCTCGTACAAATCACATTAAACTGAAGTGTAACATTGTAACAAGTATTTTAGACAGACTTTCACTGTATAATAGTGATTATTCATGTCTGGTTCAGTTAGAGAGGCATCTAAGTATGAAGGCTGTGGCCTTGGTGGAAACCTGCAGAGAACGCTAAAACAAGGAGCGGCCATTGTTTAGCCTTCTTTGTACTGGTAGAATCATGCAAGATTCTTTACATGCAAGAAACTTTACATGGCAGATTCGGGGAGTAGCTCTGCCCTGCCTCTTCTTTTCTTTCCATGGAATGCAACCAGGTCTGTGTGAATACTGGCCGCAGTGTTGCTCAGCTAACAGCAGAGGAGTGTCCCCACAGAGTGCGAAAATCCACATTAAGAACCCTGTGTTCTTTGCACAGAAAGCTGTGTTATATGTTTCATGTAACTCTTTCATAAGAAGGAAGTAAGTTTCTGTCTCGTCAAATCACTATTATTTTGCTTTTCTGTCATTTTGAGTTAGATAAAGTCCTAAGTGACATATAGCTACTTGTGTGAATACAGAAATGATGTAATACTTTTTAAAGTACTACTAATAGCAAATCAAATGCCATAAATTACTGTGTTTGACTTGTTTTTTTTTTATGCCATTTATTTTTTTGGCTGCATATGAGAAAAAAATTTGACAATGATGATTTAAACTATGTTGTGTAGGTATGAGAAGAAAAATCATAAATGTTTAAGATTATTATTGTTGTTGTTTTAGATGCAGAGTTTCCCACAAGTCTCTCAGTCCTAATGCCTGTGAACGTGTATTAGTCTTGTTGCTGCTGTTACTGTGGCAAACATCTGAGGTAAACAACTGAAAAATAGTGTGAATCTCTGGGGTTTAAGGTCTCAGAGGTTTCCTCTCATACTGGGGTGGATTTATTCCTCTGTGGCCTGAGGGAAGGCTGAGCATGTGCTCATGCAAGGCTGCTTACCACATGACAGACAACCATCAAAGGCCAAAGAGAAACCATCCCCCCTAAACATGCATCATGACTTCTTTTCTCCAACCAAGTCCTAAATCCAGGTAACAATTAAATTATGTTATCAATGATATCAAATCCAATCACTTACCAAAAGTGCTGGCTATACTCTGTCAGCCAAGAGTTTAATACCTGAGTTGAATGTACACCCAGACTTGAATGATAACAAAGAGTTAATTCTATTATGTATTAATTCATATTCCCAATTTGCATCTCTTGTAGGAGCCTAGAGATATGTACCCTTTTCAGTTTACTTGAGGACTGTCTCTATTTTCCTGTTCCATGAAATAGTCATAAGAAAGATGAGTTGTGACCTTGAATGATTACTAAGATCTCTCTGGGACCAGGCAACTACTTCCCTTTCACAATCTAAGGCTTAATTTATGGCTATCAAGACAGTGTGAACTCATCATGGCCAATTTCTTAGAATGGAAAAACTTCTAGGCTTTTAAAACTGCATTTAACAACCTTTAAATTTGATTTTTATTTTATTAGTGTTAGTGAAGACTGAACCCAGTCTTCAGACAAGTGCTCTATCATTGAATTACATCTCCAAATTCTATACTTGATTCTTAATGACGCACATATATTTTAATTAGTTTAAAGAGTGCATATTAAGTGAAGAAAATCTGGAAATAAGAAAATTTATTTATAATTTCAGAAATGATAACTACCCATACATTGATTTATTATACATATTCGTTTGGTGTTTTATACTTTAACAGCATATATGGGGTTTTTTGAAACCTCAAAGGCCACTCCTGATGCCGTACCTCCTCCAACAAAGCTTCATCTACTCCAACAAGGCCACATATCCTAATCCTTCCAGATAGTTCAACTGGGGATTAAGCATGCAAATAAAAGAGCCTACGGGCCAATTCTTATTCAAGCAATCACATTTTACTCCCTGCCCTCCACAGTCTTGTATCCACATCATAATGAGAAATGCATTCAGCCTAACTTCAGAAGTTTTTATAGTCTTTTACTGTTTAGAAGCATAAAGTCTTCTCTGAGACTCAAGGCTGTATGTAACCATACCTCACTCTAAAATTAAAACAAAACGAAAAACCAGAATAGATACTTCCAACATACAAGGCAATAGAATATAATTATTATTTCAACAAGGAGGAGTGGAAAATATTGAACCAAAGCAAGTCAAAGAACCAATAAGCAAACTGCAAATTCTTTACCTCTGTGTTTGATGTCAAAGCGCTCTTCAGATCTCCAACTCCTTTCCGTTGTATTGACTACAACATACTTCTCTCTCTTGGGCTAATTCCATAACCTGTTAGCCACTCTCCTTGATAAGTATCCTATGGTTCTGGCATCTGCCTCATCTTGGGGCCTTCAAAACAATGCAGGCCTCACCTTCATAGCTTCATTTAGTAGCCACTGTTAGCCACAAAGCTGCTCTCCTGTAAAATGCAGGATCTCAGCTGCTTTCCTTAGCCACACAAACTCTTTGCGGCTTCATTTTTTTTTTTTTTTTTTTGATAAAGCAAGAACCACATGGCCAAGGCTGCCAAATTCTGCTGCTTGCTGGATAGAACGTGACCCCCTTCTTGAATTACATTAGCATTAGCTTTCTGTATTTTTACTGTTGCTGCTGTTTAGGAAGAAGAAAGCCCTCAGACATTTTTCTTTCATTGGATGAAGGAATAGCGAGGGGAGGTCTTGCCCTGAGGTTCCCAATGCCTTTATCCCATTTAACACCAGGCCTTTCTTCAAACTTCACATGTCCCTGAACTCAGGACTTGGCTCCAACAATACATTCTTTGGTGCATTCTTTTTCTTGTCAAACTATATTACCTTTAGTATTTCTATTTGCTTCATTTGCTATTTGTGTTTGTTTTTGTAGATCTGCATGTGAGTGATCATTATTAACTACATGACACAGTCAATACTAGGGTGTCTTGAAATCTCTTCTGCCAGTGACATTAATATCAAACTCTTCAATTTAATTTTTGTCCGGTTTTTAGGAGAAGGGGGAAAAGTAGCTTAGTTAGGTTTTCTGTTGCTGTGAAAAGACACCATGACCACAGAAACTTTTATAAAGGAAAACATTTAATTGGGGCTGGCTTACAGTTTCAGCAGTTTAGTCCATTATCATTATAGTAGGAAGAATTGGTGCTGGAGAAGGAGCTGAAAGTTCTATATCTGAATCAGTAGGCAGCAAGAAGAGACAGTGACATACTGGCCAGACTTGAATATCTCATACACAAAGCCTACCCCCATTGACACACTTCCTTCAACAAGGCCATATCTACCCCACCTATCCCAAAAGGCCACATCTCCTCATAGTGCTACTCCTTGTGGGCCCATGGGACTATTTTTATTCAAATCACCATATTCTTTGCCAAAATATTACAAGAATGTTTTTTTTAACTTTTATTAATTATACTTTATTCACTTTGTATCCCCCCATAAGCCCCACCCTCTTCCCCTCCCAATCCCACTCTCCCTTTCCCTTCTTCACGCATGCTCCTCCCCAAGTCCACTGATAGGGGAGGTCCTCCTCTCCTTCTTTCTGATCTTAGTCTATCAGATCTCATCAGGAGTGGCTGCATTGTCATCCTCTGTGGCCTAAGAAAACAGGAAACAAGTTTGGAACCTGCCACAGAGGGCCTCTGAAAGGCTCTCCCCTGCAGACTATCAAAGCAGATGCTGAGACTTATGGCCAACTGTTGGGCAGAGTGCATGGAATCTTAAGAATGGTTTTTAATATTTTTCCATTTTGAAAGTTTTTGAGCTGTGCCTCCACAGCCCACATTGCTCTCAGCATTATTTTCAACAACCAACATGGTGAGGCCTGTCACAGCAATACTCAAAACCCTAGCACCATCTTCTATCTTAGGGTTTTTATTGCAGTGAAGAGATAACATGACCAAAGCAACCTACAAAAAGAAGAATTTAATTGGGGTTTCCTTACAGTTATAGCAGATTAGTTGTTGGAGGTTGGTGTGATATTAATTACTGGCCCCCAAGATCTTGTCCCT